ACACCTGCTTTTCTGGAGATTTTAATACACTTGTCCACAGTTTCCCCAAATACACTTTTAAACATAGAATGACACTGTCTGTATTACTACCAATTCTAATACTTTCAACTATCACGCAGAGCCCATTTCTTTGAGCTTGGTGTACTTTTTGAAACCCCATTTTAGCTCAAAGAATAAATTAGTTTGTCCATTCGGGCCAGCTTCTCTGAAGGAAAAACAGCTGCAGTTTTTAATGATGAAAAGTAAGTGTTGGACGAGAGAACGCTGCCACGCTTGACGGTCGGACCTCAGCTCTAGATGTGCATCTGCCTGCCCAGTGAACAAGAAGTCCTCACAGGTGACATTGGCTGGCAAGGCTGTGCCCACACTGAGCAGTATTTGCGGTTGTGCCTGGCATCCGGCTTTGTAGGGTGGCATAGATTGGTATATTGTCTCCTAGCTTTTGTTTTGCTTTCGCTTTTTGTCTTGAAATAGCCCTTAGGCAAATGATCTAAAATGACCCGTAAAAATATCTATTTGAGTGGGTCATAAATGACTTACTGGCACGTTGTGGTGAGGAGGAAAAAAATACCCGGCAAGAAGTCAAGATTCCACAACTTCAGTCCTGTTGTCTGCTATGAACAAGTGGTTTGTGCCCGTGGACAATCACTTCACTGCCTTCCTTGGTGTCTTCATTTGACGAGTGAAAAGGGACCAGGGATCCCGGTCAGCTCCAGCATCCCATGCTTTTAGTCTTGCTTTGTCTCACCTGTACCATTCAAGTTGACTTGGCGATCTTGCGGGTTACAGGAGGTCTCCCATACTTTTTGTGAGGACTGAGTTTTAATGCCTCATTTGTGGTCATTGCCCTGAGCCGGAGAATGAAAGGAGAAAAGTTGAACAGAATAACAATAGTATCTTGCAGTTCCTGTTGGATGGTTGCATTGGAGGGCCTGGGGCTTTCACCTGGGGGAACAGCTTTACCCGTTTACCCGTTTGAAAGCCACCAGGACAGTTGCCTAGAGCAAGAGCCTGGGTTCTGGGGCAGCTCCGGGGGTGTTTGAAAGCTGCCAGGACAGTTGCCTAGAGCAAGAGCCTGGGTTCTGGGAACCATCACCGACAGGGCTCTCTCGCTCTTCCCGGGAGATGGGAATGGAGCTGGAGTGCGCAGAGGAGGAAGGGCCCTTATTGCCGAAGGAGCCCTGGGCAGCTCCCCAGGGGAACCAGGAATGGACCCCATGGCAAACCAGGAGGAGCTACAAGTCACACCCACACATACAAAACCCACCTGTGTAAAAAGCTTGAAGGGATGGACGTTACATTTCCATATCTGAAAGATGCCACTGCAAAGGGATTATGAAAGAAATCCTTAAGCATACCAGAGTTAGCCTGCGGTGCCATTCTTTCCCTAGGACCGTGGTTGGCAAACTGCGGCTCACAAGCCACATGTGGCTCTTTGGCCCCTTGAGTGTGGCTCTTCCTAAGCCTTAGGAGTACCCTAATTAAGTTAATAACAATGGACCTACCTATATAGTTTAAGTTTAAAAAATTTGGCTCTCAAAAGAAATTTCAATCGTTGTACTGTTGATATTTGGCTCTGTTGACTAATGAGTTTGCTGACCACTGCCCTAGGAGAAGGCGCCTTGGGTAAACAGCGTGGTTCTGGGGAAAAGCAGGAACCTGGAAACGGAGCCCCTGATTCTCATTCTGGCTCTGCCGCTGCTCAGCTTCATGATTTTAGAGCAGGCTCTTCCCCTCTGCAAACGTCACTTTCCTCATCTGTCAAGGGCAGATGGGACTAGTCAGCCGTGGGCAAACTACGGCCCGCGGGGCAGATCCGGGCCGTTTTAAAAGAATAAAACTAAAAAAAAAAAAGACCGTACCCTTTTATGTAATGATGTTTACTTTGAATTTATATTAGTTCACACAAACACTCCATCCATGCTTTTGTTCCGGCCCTCCGGTTCAGTTTAAGAACCCATTGTGGCCCTCGAGTCAAAAAGTTTGCCCACCCCTGGACTAGATGATCCCCATAGTCCGTGCTAGTCTTAACCCGTTGGGATTCCAGGCAGTGCCCCTTCACCTGCAGAAACGTGTTCCTCTGACTCTCCGTGCATAGATTCAGCAAAATCGCCCACTATGCCTAGTCCAGTGCTAATCAACAAAGGAGTCCTCAAACTGCAGCCTCAGGTGGTGGAATAATAGATGCATCTGCAGTTGAGAAGCCTCCTTCAAGGAAGAGGACCAATTCTGTGGACTGTGACAATTTCAGGACGCGTCAGCCTGACAATACAGGTTTCCGAGTTTTCGGTTCCATCGATATCCGTTTGTTGCTGTTGTTAAGCCCTGAGGGCACTTCCTGGAAGTGTTGGGCCTCCAACCGATGAAGAAGGCTCGTTTAGGACGTGCTCACCGCCCCTTCACCTGCAGGCACACCTGGGCATGAGACCCCCCGACTCGTGCTGCACAAGTGGTGAAGGTCAGTAGGGGCTGATGGAATTTGCTCCCCTGGAATGAGATGGACACTCCTGTGCATGCCTAGAGCCGGTTGGCTGGCTTGCCTGCAATGAGCTCAAACCCAGGACGGTGGCGCCAGCCTGGTGACCTGAGCTGCAGGCTTTGTGGCTTTGTCGCAACCTAGATCGGCTGGGACTTCATTTCCTAGAATGCCCCTGCCCTTTGGCTTCTGGGTCAGGGAGGCCACAAGAGAGACTTGCATGAGATTGTGAAGGCCAAAGTGACACAGGAGTCTTTCTTTTAAGGCTCTGAAGGTCCGCGCTGTTCCAGTTCATGCATGTTGTCACCTCGCTGGCATGTGGCAGCAGCTGGGCCGGGTGCATGTGCATTTCCCCGAGGAAGGGCCCCGGCTTATCCGGCAGGTGGTCTGCATCATCAGGACTAGAGATTGTGAGAGCCACAGGCAGTGCTGTCTTCGGTCTCTTGCGCTTTTCACCCATCTTTCTTTTCAGTGGCCAGAACTGCTGACTTCCTGCCCAGCATCTGAGGCAGAGGCAGCAGACTGAAGTAGACCACTGCCGGAGGTCTAGCCCCTGCAAGAAACCCCTCATATCATCATAGTGGCTGTGTTTCTCTGGCCATATCCCAATAGGTACAGTCTCGCAGGTGTCAGCCTGACCCAGAGAACATCAAACCGGGTACCACTGCGGAAACTATGTCCCATTCTGATTCCCAAAGTATCGTAACAGACATCTTGGAAAGTGGGTCCTTGGCCGAGGTCGATGAGCAGTGTCCTGGTGTTTCTCATGGCAAGGGCATTGCCAAATGGAGGCAAAAATAAAGGAACTGGTCCTCAGGATAGCCTAGCTTTTCTCTCCTGCTCCTCTCTTGGCTTTTGCCACCTCCGAGGAAGACAGAGTTCCACAAGAATTACTTAACTCATGAGCATGTCACGCAGTATATGTCCTCAGGATAGCCTAGCTTTTCTCTCTCCTGCCCCTCTTTTGGCTTTTGCCACCTCCGAGGAGGACAGAGTTCCGCAAGAATTACTTAACTCATGAGCATGTCACGCAGTATAACGGGATAGCCAGATGGAGTGGTTTTCAAGATCTGGATAAATCTCATAGCACTGGTCAGACAGTGATAAAACCGTGGTCATTGGGTTGAGGATTCTTGGACCTGTGGCTGGACCCCGCAGACTCTTTTCTCTCAATAACTGATCGTTGGTTCTGTTGTTTTGTGGTGTGAGAGAGACCTGCAGACCTACTCACACCGAAGCCGTCGTGTCTGCCCCTTCATCATGAGCCTTTCCCACACAGCTAATGGGCATTGGCTCACTCGCTTACCCCACAGATGGGTCTGCGCCAGGTGCTAGCTGGGGTACACCTGTGAACAAAGCAGAAGAGTTCCTGTTTCTCGGATGCTTACATGGTATTTGAAGAGACAGACGTTAAACAACAAATTGCACAGTATTTCATTATAACTGCGGTAAAGCCAACAGGAGGCAGTATTGAGTAGGAATAAAGTATCTAACCGGCAGATCTGACCTGCTCCAGGAGTCAGGAATAGTAGAAATCGATGCCAGGTAAGGGGCTGGTAGAAGAGTGGGCAGAGCCTGGCCAAGAGGTAGGCCAGGTCCTGCTCTCCAGAGGTGGGCAGGCGTGTGCTGGCTCATGGTTAGCATCCTGGCGTTTGCCAAGAAGACCAGATGAGTCCGAATAGCCCCTGCCCTGCTGACTACACACCCCTCAACCTTCAGGCAGTGGCTTCTGACCATGACTTCTCAGAGGAGGGGGTTGCCGACTCCCTAATTTCCTGGCACGTGGCAAGAGCCAAAAGCGTTTCGGGACACCCCTTTCCACTGGGAATTGTCACCCATCAGCTTGAGAAGCCGAGTTGCTTGTGTCAGAAGAGACGAGGAAAGCCTCTGGAAGAGAAGCTGCATGTGACATACAAGAAGAGATTTCTCAAGAAACATGATTCTCCTTTTTAGAAAAGGTTATGGTAACAGCATGTTAGCATATTCCCTGGGTTCTCCCCGCTGCCCTAGTTCCTCCCCTCGCCCCCAATTCTGAGCAGAGCTCTCCCGGTGTCTCAGCTGTCCCTCAGTGATGGGGAGATATACTTCCCTCCTCCACACAGTCCCCCCAGAGCTAATCTGCAGCCAGATGTGCCAGGGACACAGGCAGGGGGTTAACTGGCTCTTTGAAGGCGGGGCGGGAGTCTGGCTCAGGCAGTGGGGGGTCTGCACACGCCCCTGAGCTTTGCACTTCCTGAGGAGAGCATGTAATTAAGCAGGTAGGTGCTTGGCTTTTTAACACCTCCGTCGTTAATTGCTCTGACTTTTTCCCGCCTTCTTTCTCCTGGCTTTGTGCTCCTAAATGTGTAACCTAATAGCTTCATTTTTGTAAATGGCTGGCACCTCAAAGACCACTTTGTGCGCATGTTGCTTAGACTTGGAACGTCTTGGGGTGTTTTTTGTTCGTCTGAATCCAGGAGTAGGAAAGACAAATATTTTTCCCTCTGCTTTTAATTATTTTGTTGTTTAACTCTTCATCCCCTAGGCCTCCCAGTGACCCGGGATGGAGGAGACAATACATTGGCAGTGAAAACCAAGCCAAACCAGTTGTAGTTTTAGATCCTGTTTCCACACATGAACCCCAAACCAAAGACCAGGGTGCCGAACAAGATCCAACTCCACGCAAGGATGATGACGGCGAAATTAAACCAGAATATAAAGAAGACAGTGCTGAAAAAATGCGAGACACAGACAGCTCCAGCTGCTGATCCTTGAGCCAGAAGGTGACACGAGGAGAAGTCCGTTTCGACGAGCACATGTTTAGTTCTAGAGACATTCTGTTCTTGTCCCTGGATTCAGAAAACAGGTTCTTCTCTGATGTCACTTTTGTAAGTAGTTCGCCTATCAATATACTAGTAAGTAAGCTGTTTAGCAAAATGCACAGTCTATGTAGTTTTTTATATTCATAGGGATAAGGTGTTTTTTTTTCCCTAATTATTGTATGAAATGTGACTTCTTTTAGAAGGCTACAGAAAATTCAGATGTTTCTATCCTTTTTATTAATGTACATACCACTATTCAAAAGTAATGCTGAAAGTTTGTAGGACTGTGGATAATTGGATAAACAGAACCGAACAATTTGAGGTGATTTAAAAAGCCCTCAAATGAGCTTCTTTTTCGGATCCAGTCCTCTTTGATGGAGAAACCGCAGTAGCATGGGAATTGTTAGGCACTGTGGCATGCAAGTTACTTGCTAGGATATACCGAGATAAACTTAAAATTCAGGAGCTGGCGTCAAACCAGTGGCCCCATAATCAGTGTTAATTATGCACACTGTTACCTATGGGATGAAAATACATGCTGAAGATTGAGTCCAAAACCTCCCAAGGTCTTCGGTGGGAATGCGCTGGTGGCCCAAATGCAGAATCAAGGTGCAGTCCAGTCCTTGAATGTAACAGAGTCTTATCTTGGTAAACCCTCTGCTCTGTGCTATGAGTTCACTGTGTTTTCTCATGTACTCATGGGGCACAGGTACCATATTTCATCACAGTTCTTACATACAGTGAAGAGCAGCGACAAGCAGACAATTTCCTTTACTGCTGTTCTACATTACACAGGTTGGTTGTTTTTTGTTGTTGTTGTTTTTGTAAGGAATTAAGTGGTAGTTAGTCTCTAAAAATACAATGTTTCGGTCTACCACAGTGAATAAATAGAAATGTAATCAGGGATTAAAAAACACACACACGTATGCAGCTTTTCAAAGTTGATTGTTTCAAAATTGGTGTTTATTTAAAATAAGTGGTCATGTACTTGAATGCATTTTTTTACGACAGTGATTCAGTAATGGTAATTTTGCTATTAAAGGAAGTGAAAGGTTTCGTTTTGTTAGCCGAGCTCAGCATGTAGCTGTCAGGTGTTGCTCACCTAAGGGCAAGAGAAAATGATAGTAATAATTGCAGTAGTTGTATTGTACTTGATTTTTGCACGTGTGCTAAGCATAGGCTTGAAGAGGTAGGCAGGCAGGTACGCGTCCTTCCTCGATTTGGACACAATGATCTTCCTGTAGGTTCGTTATGCTTGACTGTTGCCATGTTCTTCCAGGGACGACTTTACAGTTACTTAGCAGTTTACTCCTGGGAAATGAAAGTGTGATGTTTTCCACTGTAACGCTCTCTAACGGGATGCTGCTGCTGTGTGATATACTCACTGCTAACTGCATTCATTCACCTAAACAAGTTCTGTTCTGCTGTGATGAGCCCTCCTCACCCCACTTATTAAAAAGCACCCACAGATTCCCACTAAACGTCATTTGTGGTTATTGGCATGTTTGGTTCAGTTCCCCAAATCGGACATTCTTTAAAAGGCAATTACAGGAGCGCTGATAACGTCCGTTATTTTTAATAACTCACAAAGTGGTGTATTCTGAGGACTGTATTCCCTGTTGCTTTGTGCTGTCCTCCCTCCTGTGTCTGTCATCAGCCCACAGGGGTGTGTCATCCACATTTAGCACTAGGAGGATGTGTGCTCCGTTCCCTGGTTCATCACACACGTGACAGAATGGTGCAGTTATAGAAGCAGCCTCTTTTCCAGGGTCAGAAGTGATTATGTGGTGGGATGCCTTAGGCCAGGCAGCAGGCAGTAACTGGTATTTTGACTATTCTTGCCTTTTCTTTTTTTTTATCCTCACCCAAGGATATATTTCCATTGATTTTGTTCTTGCCTTTTCTTTTCTTTTTTTTTCTTTTTTATCCTCACCCGAGGATATATTTCCATTGATTTTCAGAGAGAGTGGAAGAGAGAGGGAACACATAGATTGGTTGCCTCCTGCACGCATCCCAACCAGGGCCCAGGCTAGGGAGGAGCCTACAACTGAGGTATGTGCTCTTGACTGGAATCGAACCCGGGACCCTTCGGTGTGCAGACCAGCTAGGGCAGGAGTGTTCTTGCCTTTTCTAAGCTGCTTACTTTCTTTCACCGTGATCACAGTCATTTAAAATTAATTTGATATGAAGATATTTGATGTAGGATTTTATTCACCTTTCTCTGCCTACAGTTTTTCCCTTTTCACGTCAGTTTTTAGGAAAGTTTGCCCCTGCTGTGGTGTCGTTGTCAGCGAGCAGTTAGGCGGGGGTGGGAGACCTGGGAAGACTGGTGCTTGTGTCTTCAAGGTACGCTTGTAGCTCTTTGCATATAAAAAGTATAGATACCCTACATAGGCTGTTGTACAATTGGAAGGGGCAGTGCAGTTATCCGTCGTAACAGCAAGATGTTGGAAATGGAGGAGTACAGGTAAAAATCACTGTAAATCTTTCCAGACAATTTTAAGGTTGTCTGTCAGGTCAATGGTAGTCCATATCACAGAATCTTACAAAACAAAGTTTGGATGATATTCCTAAACGCACACTATACGTGTGTAATCACTTCAATCATGGGACAGCTTGAGCTTCTGTGGAACTAAGTGGGGGAGGGTGGATGGCCGTCCATCATCATCACCACTGACCTTGGGAGGGTCACCAAGCAGTTCCCACTTAAGGGCTGGATGGAAGTTTCTTCCGCGCACTGACCTTTCCCAGTCCCTCTGTCGTTTCTCAAAATGGGATATGACTAGTTTGTTTCACCTCCTTTACAGTTGGTATCTTACAGGTGATCTATATTGAAATTAAATGCTGATCGGGTTGAGGTCATCAATCACCTCATTGGTTCACTTTATTTAACTATTTACTTAGTTGTACATTTTTTCTCTGGTTTCAGTCATCCAATTATAACTTGTATCATAGTTCCAGGGCATGCTCTTATATGATCTCCCATGTTTCATGCATGCGTGTGTGCATACCCGTGTACATGTGCAAAGGCTATGTGAACACCCAGTCTGTTCCTCCTGCCTTTAAGATGGACTTTCCCTCCAGTTTCTCAGACCCCTCATTTGCTGTAAGCAGCAGGAGAGGCGGTAGCAACCACAGCCTGGACGCTCTTCTCCCGCCCGGAATGGAGTGAGAAGTCCTCCTGCCCGGGCTCTGGAAGACTCGGCCCTGGAACCGACCTTGAGTCATTGCTTAGCAGCGGTTCTCAACCTGTGGGTCGCGACCCCTTTGGCAGTCGAACGACCCTTTCACAGGGGTCGCCTAAGACCATCCTGCATATCAGATATTTACATTATGATTCATAGCAGTAGCAACATTACAGTTATGAAGTAGCAACGAAAATAATTTATGGTTGGGTCACAACATGAGGAACTGTATTTAAAGGGCCAGAAGGTTGAGAACCACTGTCTTAGAGGGAAAGGCCTGGGCATCAGACCATGACTTTTCCCTGTTAGTCCTCTTCAAGAGGAGAGGTCCTCCGTGTGTGTTTAGTGAAAACATATAGAATATGCCAGAAATCTAAGTTTAGCCAACTCTCCCACACATCAGTACGTAGCAATTTATATAATTTTGGGGTAAAGCAAATGATAACTTTTAACAGAGAATCAAACCATACAAAGCAGGTGGTATCCGTAGGTACGTGATAGAGTGAGTTCATTTCTGTTCCTTCTCTGCTGGCTCACAGCGGGCAGGGCAGTCACCCTACACCTGCACCGTCTCAGTCACCTGTCAGTGCTGTCATGTCAATAAGTGAGCATTTCATTCCCTTAAGGATAGTTATCCACCCATGCACGTGTTTATTCACTTACCCTCATTCCTGTTCCGAGAAGGATTGAAGGAGACTCCCAAGGATATACATAATACAAGAAAAACTAACATTTAGAAAGAGGAGGGAATCGGGGCAAAGGCCACTGCTCGGCTGTTACACAGGACGGTGAAACTCTCCTACTTCTGCGTGAGGTTGGCTACAAAACCGTGTGTGCGCTTCCAAGCACGGGTGTGTAATGTAAACGCAGATGCACACATGTTCCCGGCAAGAGAGCTCCTGGTGGAAAAGATTTGCTTCTCAGAGATGTTTTCATTTGTAAAGTGTGAGGTGTTTGAACTGAGTGCGGAGCTGGCAACACAAGTCCCGGGTACTTTTACGAGGTCATCCCCTTCCCTCCCCGATGGACAGGGGCGCAGGTACATAAACAGACCTCCTACCGCCCTGGAAGTGTGATGGCTGTGAGACACGGACCGCACACAGGCAGAAAGGCTATATGTGTATTTCACCAAATGGTAAAGGAGGAGAAGAAGCACAAAGTCAGTGAAGTTTTAGAGCAAAACCAAGATGAAGAAGACAGACTTCAGAGCTGCGGCCTGAAAACAGGGATGTGGCTGGACCTGGGTGTGGACAGCCCGGTCCGGAAGCGCTTGAGCTCAGGCCGCTTCCTCTACGACTTCTGTGGGGAAGATGGGCTCCGGGCGCCCGGGCAGCTCACCGGCCTCGGCGGCCGCGGCATCCGGCTCCTCGGAGGCCTTGTCATCTTCCTCGTTCAGCTGGACAAAGGTGAGTTCTCCTTTGAAACCTATTAGAAAGCAACGACAACAGTGTTTACTGTCCGATCCAGCGGTGCCGATGCTGCTGCTGTTTGATTTAAAGATCATGCTCAGAAGTGCCCGGAGGTGTCCCACCACCGTCAGAGAGGGTTCCAGAACCGTTCCAATGGGCCTGTTTTGGTTACACATTAACTGTGGGACACTCGTTCTTCTCGGTGCGCACTGCACCCTTACACAGCCTTCTGGGACATTCCACATGCAGCGGACGTGGGCAGTGGCTTAGCAGGAAAGGCTCCGAGGAAGAAGGTAAATTGGAGGGAAGGCCCGTCCTGTACATGAGCACAAACCATTGCTACTGACAACCCCGCGGTAAACGAGTGCAGACTGAGACTGTTCCGGTCTGGTCCCCGAGGGCAGGGACAGTGTCTCCTTAGCTGTTTTCCCGGTGCTCGGTTTGCTAATGTTTATGGAGCGCCGCCGGTGTCCGAGCATGCTCATTCATCTGTGCATCCAGGGGCCTGCGCTGCCACCAGGGAGGGCTGGTCCCCGGTCACTAGGGTCCTTTTGGATGCCCTGAAGCGACTGTTTCCCTCGTGGTAGGTCTGGCAGGAGATGTGATAAGTCGTGTAAGAACCTAAGGCTTCCATGAGTCAGTATGACATAAAAAGTAATCAGGTGTGTGTAGGAAGAATATACTGTTACCTGTTTGAAACAACAAGCCCGTGTCACACACCAAACACCACCAAGTCATTTTTGACTGCCTTTACGTGACTCAGGAATGGCCTCCCGATTATATCTTCCTTTTCTGTGAATCTTAGGGTGTGTTTCAGGATCGTGACACATGGTAAACATGACAAATGTATAATCACAAGTTCTGTTGGTTTCTCTATTTTTTCCTCTGTGATGTATGTATTGAGTCATAAAGTAGGACTGCTTCCTTGCTTCCATGGGTGTGCGCCCCAATACATTCTACAATGCGCCTACCTCCTTTAATAGACTTCATTTACAGCATCCAAGAAAGGGTCGTGTTTTAATTGTAAGCACTATGTAAATAACATATACTGTTTTCAGTATACCAATTCATTTATTCTATCTTAAAATACAGAGTAGCTTTAGAATTCCACAATAACTATTGGTTTCTTTTAATGCAGTGGTTCTCAACCTTCTGGCACTTTAAATACAGTTCCTCATGTTGTGACCCCAACCATAAAATTATTTCCGTTGCTACTTCATAACCGTAATGTTGTTACTGTTATGAATCATAATGTAAATATCTGATATGCAGGATGGTCTTAGGCGACCCCTGTGAAAGGGTCGTTCGACCGCCAAAAGGGTCATGACCCACAGGTTGAGAACCGCTGTTTTAATGTCTCTGTGTGCTACAAATGTACTTTTGGCCATCACCATCCATAATATAAAAAGTAAAACTGCATATTTGGGGTGTTTCTCTCCAGTTAAACCAGTATACAAGGTGATTGGACCCACGCAAATTTACCAAGGTTTCATGTCATGAGTGATTGGTTCCTTTCTCTTGAGACGACAGCCTTCCCAAAGCACAACATGAACATGAACATGCTGCCTACTTGTCTTCAGTAAAATGAGTGGTTTCCAAAAGCCATCAGGAAAAACCTGCCTTTAATTCTCCTGGGTTGTGCAGAGAAACCTCAGCTTTGATTTGTACCACAACAAAAGGTAGGCTTGGAGATTCCAATCAATCAATTCTATTGAAAAGCATCACGCAGCCTATTTATCAAGACGAACAGCCGGCGAGAGTGTTAAACATTCAGGTAAACAGATAATCCATTAAGGAAACAATGCACATTGTAGTAAATGCCATCCTGGTTTGTCAGCTCTTATTTCTAGTCTTTGGAGTCCCCTGCCCTCCTGCTGGGGGACTTCTATTCCCCCTCTTCCCGTCTTTGTTCTCTTGTTCACGGCCAAGTGAAAACAAAGCAAGAAAGCAGCACATACCCAGTGTTCCGTTCTGGACAAGTTCTTCCTCTATAGTGAAAATGCGGTTGTACTTGGTCACCCGTTCGCCGCGAGAAAGACCTCCCAACTTGATAAACTGGACACCCAGTCCGACGGCCTTAAGCAGGGAAAAGACAACTTATTTTATTTATTTATTATTATGTATTTATTTAATTATTTTTTTTTATTTCAGAGAGGAAGGGAGAGGGAGAGAGATAGAAACATCAATGATGAGAGAGAACCATTGATCGGCTGCCTCCTGCACACTCTTGAGCCCCCAACCTAGGCATGTGCCCTTGACAGGAATCAAACCCGGGACCCTTGAGTCCACCGGCTGACGCTCTATCTACTGAGCCAAACCAGCTAGGGCAAAAAACAACTTTTTTGAAATGGAGAAGTCACCTTTTTCTAAAAGGACACTGTCCCTGTGTGCTGTTTGCGTGTTTCTCTTATCACTTCATTTTTTGTCTTACATAGGTAAGGGGGCCTGCTTAAAGCTGAGGGTGTCAGACAGAGTGTGTCACTGCATCACACACCTCCCTGGTCGTGTAGGCACGCTGACTTTGCCTAAGAGCGTGCTGGCCTTCCTCACTTCATTCTAGGAGGTGAGGCGGCAGGTGCACACCCCAGTCATTGAAGTGTGCTCATCCCTTTCCCCAGGACTTCCATTTCTCTTCTTTTTAAAAGGTCAAAGTGTAGCTCTTCGCAAAAGGGAGGAGGCAAGTCTATTTTGTAAAAGGTTCCAGGACTTTCTCCGCCAAAGCCTGTATTTCTCTGAAACACCAGTTCCCGATAAAAGCGGTGTTTGGCAATTATGCAGCTGACCAGCCTGCAGCACTTACCAGGTCCACGAGGCTGTCATCTGCAGACTCCCCTTCCGCGCTTCCAAAGACAGCCATGTGCTTCTTACCTGCAGGCAGAGGAGTTCTTTTCAGCTTCCCGCGGTACAGAAACAGTGCAAATGCATGAGCCGCTGAGAGCAACATGTAAAAGTGCCCAGAGATTTAAAAGTTTCCCGTGACAATTCAATTGTTTGACCACCTAAGAATTCTAACCCAAATATTTGCTTCCCCCAACCACCCCGCCTTTCCCCCACAACACCTGGTTTTATCTGTTCACCCCTTTCCAGTAGCTTGGATGCTAAATACTAAATGAATGCTACCTTTCGTCAAATGTAAGGTATGACAGATTGTAAGTAAGAGTCACCATTATTACCCCTAAAGGGGGGAAATGCTCAAATTAGATCGATAGCATTTCTAAGACCACAGCTGTACGCCACGATTCAATTTCGTGCTTGTTCAATGAGGAAAAGTGCATCTTTGAGTCAGAACACTTTAAACGCCAGGCATCGCATGGGGAGTTGATGTACCTAATGCAGCGGTTCTCAACCTGTGGGTCGCGACCCCTTTGGCGGTCGAACGACCCTTTCACAGGGACAGCGTTTCAGATATTTACATTACGATTCATAACAGTAGCAACATTACAGTTATGAAGTAGCAACGAAAATAATTTTATGGTTGGGTCACAACATGAAGAACTGTATTTAAAGGGCCAGAAGGTTGAGAACCACTGGCCTAATGTATTTTACAACTCACTGTGTAGAATTTTATTCAAAGGAGCCTGTCATTCTGAATGTTCACTTATCAGAAGAGCAGCGTGGATAGTATTTAATCATTTCAGGATCTCAAAACCCCTTGGAATTTACCAAAGTCTACAAGGAGTGTGAGCCAAAGTTCTTCCTACAGGGACAGTGTTTGCGTGTTCAGAGGCGGGAGCTACAGCGGCAATCTGAAGTGAGTGATGGTCTGACTGTCGAGTTTGGGCCCTGGACCAGGGCAGCCTCCGGCCTGGGGTCTACAGGCATCTCATTCCTTTCTCCGGCACCCGCCCAGGCCCCTGGATGCTAGTCCCACTTTGAGTCCTGCTCCAGGTCTGAGACTAGCCTTCTGCCTACTTCCTGATATTTATGTTTCAGCGACTGTGCGTAAGTGAACAAGACTCCCATGAACTCATGGAAGTCTACAGTCAAGTGGGAGATACCCGGCATTAAATAATTGTACGAGTAATTGTGGCCAGTACTACAAAGGGGAAATAAATATAAGCTGCTATGAGAAAGGTTTGCTGCAAGGGGTGGAGGGAGTCAGGGAAGGCAGACAGGGTGGGACAAAAGTAAGTTTACAGTTATTTGTACGGACAATAACATAGTAATAAATAATAATACACGAAAAAACTCTGCTTCATGTACTCACAACTGTAAACCTTCTGCCCCACCCTGTATATGCCAAGAAGAGGCTTCACTTAAGGCAAGAAGACCTGAAGGGTCAGGAGTAGGGAGCCAAGTAACAGGACAGGGCAAAGCATTCTAGGCTGAGGCTCTGTAAAACAATAAAATATATTTTAAAAAAAGTAAGTTTACAGTTACTTGTACGGCCAATAACATAGTAATAAATAATAATACAGGAATAAACTCTGCTTCATGTACTCACAACTGTAAACCTTCTGCCCCACCCTGTATATGCCAAGAAGAGGCTTCACTTAAGGCAAGAAGACCTGAAGGGTCAGGAGTAGGGAGCCAAGTAACAGGACAGGGCAAAGCATTCTAGGCTGAGGGAGCAGCATGTTGAAAGACCTCAAGGTGGTAAGAAAGTGAAACTTGAGGAATAAAAAAATAAAAAAAGCCAGTGTGGGCTAGTGGGATCCCTGTCCTGTCATGTGCAGCTGACAGGGCAGTGGCCTGGCCACACCTTCGTGGTGGCCCCTCTAAAGTAGATGCCCTCCGGGGCTGGGGCTGACGGGGCGCCGGGGAGTGAAGACGCCGCTTTTATTTCCCAGCACCAGATCTCTCATAGGCGGTGGGGTTTGTTTTTTCCCTCCCAGGTTTAGCCCACGCTTCTTATTAGCCACCGTACAGCCTGTTTTCGGCTTCTTGTATAACCGAGTTCGTGCTGAGTCTTTGCGACCTCGACTTTTTTACTCACTGTCGATGAGGTTGCTTATTTCCACCAAGTCAGACATCGTCGTTTGATTGGTGTGCTTTATGATCCGCCCACTGGATTTGGGGGTGCTGATGTTGCCTTCCTCTAGAAGTGTGGAAATGCTTTTGGAGGCATTTCCCGCAATTATGTAACACCTGGAACCAAGAGCATTATAGAGGCTGTCCCACTGTTCAGAGTCCTGGGTGAATATTTAAGAATTGATCGTTATAAGGTATTGAACACAACCACAGAACAACAGGAATCATATAGCACATACAGTTGTACGCCTTTCTGAGCTAACACACAGTGGTTTTCTTTTGCACCTGCAGCTGAAGGGTGCCTACACCACAGCCACACAGATTAACGAGCTCCTCGGAGCAGAAACTTAAAATGATTACATTTGAGCGTAAAGATCTAGTGAATAAAATGTTTATACACATTAGTTGCTATTCTCCACGTTGATTCTGAAGCTCTTCAAACCCAGGCTTTCCTCGCCCACTGTATTATCCATAATGTTGCTAAAGATTGGCTGGTTAGAAGATTCTACTGTTATTTCTGGTAAACAGACAAGATGAAAGCCCGAGCTCAGTCTGTGTCTCCCGCAAGCGCCTGGGTGGAGCTAAGGCTGTGAAAGGGAAGACAGGACTGAGAGAGCCTGGGGCTCCCAACCAGACCCGACACTTCCTGCCCCCAGATGTGAAACCTTGCGTTATCTCAGAGAGGGTGTCTGTTCAGTTCATCTAATGGTTCTCACATTCATAAATCGAGAATTTCAGTTTTGCTCTTTAAGGGAGAGAGATGGTCTTCTGTGGCACGTAAACAACCCTTGTTAGAGGCATTAGCTTGAATAGATTAAAATAAGTCAAACCTTTTTAAAAAAAATATATGGCTTTGTTACTCTCCTGCATATGCAGTAACTGGATTTAGGTTAAAAACAGTTGGCCTAGTGGAAGTCCTGTTTCCATGAGCACTTGAAAATGATCTATGATTAATCTACTGAGGCTCCAGCTAGCACAGCGGGCTCAGTGGCCCTCAGTTAAGTTGCTTGTAAATGTACGGCTACCCCTGAAGTGCCTGGGGATAGCTTGCTTCATTCCGTGGACAGGCACACTGCTAGGTCATTGTGTTTCTGCGATTCATTTGCTTAGTAAGTGCCTTTTCCCATAGATGCCGGAAGAAAGCAACTCATTCCCAGCCCAAATTACAACACATTTCAAGTGACAGATCCACAAGAATGAGGTTTTATTATAAAACTCAAGGCGAATCCTCTTACCTCTTTCCTGAAAGGATCAATTAAGGCGATAATTGAAGGGAACTTGCTGATCAGATCCACATACAGGTCAACCATCTCAGTGGTGTTTTTGTATGTTCCCGTCATCACTTCATACTTCCCCTTACTCTGGTGAGCGTAAGGAAGATATTAGAGGGTAAACACGGAATTCCTCAAATGTTAAAAATGGGGTTCAAATACATTTTCATTCATTTCACATAAAAGATTGCAAACAGATTCTTTTCAGGTCATATTCACATAAGAAATGTACCCATTTTACTTTTAACATCTGTTCCATATTAACCTGGGGAAAGCAAGTCACCATCCCCTTTGATGTATCACCCAGTGACTTTGGATGAAGCCTTCTGCACAAAAAAACTAAGGTTTATGATGTGGTGCTTAGGTAGACGGGCAACAACCTAAGTTCATAAAACAAACCATAGCGCCACGCAAACCTGCCCACTCGCCAGAACCCACCATCTTCCAACTCACACTGAACAAGTGGATTTCTTCTGCTGGGAATATTCTAGAATTTGAAAGCAGGGCTAGGCTTTTGAAAGATAAAGTGATTATGTGAAGGCACTCCTTAATCAGCATGCAGGTTCTAGTAGTACCAGTTCTGTCCTGAAAGTGTAATTCTAGTGCAACCCCATTCATTTGAAGTCTGGTGAGCCCCCTAGTCATTAGGTACAGAGGTTAGCAGGGCTGCGGGATCTGTAGGTTCTCTGTAAAACAGCACCTTTCCTCCAAGTCTGTGTTCAGGGATGGCACCTGGGATACTGAGGGAGCTGGAAGGGAACGGAATGGCTGTTTGGTTTGCTAGTGACTTCCTATTGCTGCTAATGGACTGGATTCCATTGGAATGAAGCAGGTTCTTAAGAAATCCGTAATGCAAAGGACTTCATAACTTTTTTCACACTGAATAGCATCAAGGACTTTTAGTTTATTTGTTGTTGTTGTTGTTAATCCTCATCTGAGGATATTTTTCTATTGATTTTTAGAGAGTGGAAGGGAGGAGGAGAGACACACAGAGAGAAACATTGACTTAAGAGAGACACATCGATGGGTTGCCTCCCTCACGCGCCCCAACCAGGGCCAGGGATGGAACCTGCAACCAAGGAACGTGCCCTTGACTGGAATCGAACCTGGGACCCTTCAGTTCTCAGGCTGACACTCTATCCACTGAGCCAAACTGGCTAAGGGCAAGAACTTTTAGTTTCTATACTTGAACGTTTTAAACTCCTATCTTGTCAGTAAGGAAATGCTAGACTTTGAACTAACATTATTGTAAGAATTATGTGATGTCAAGCTAATATATTTTACTCAATCTGAGCAATAAATACCCATTCAAGTTAGCACTAGGAGTCAGTATATTCATAGTTCTCGGTATTCGTTGCTGATGAAAACATGCAATTATTTTTCTTAATGGTATGCCTAGGAACCAATCATTATGTGAAGAACAGGAAATTACATTAAACATTCCTTTATGTGCTTAGTTTCTTTAGAAAAGTAAAAGAACTTTTAGAAATCAGCTGAAACTTAGGGTTTCTATATACTGTTCAGATTCTCCTTTGAAATTGAAAGTTAGAATGCTAAATCAAAGCGAAATTCTATTTGGTCATATCCCCTGAATTTGACATTAACTACCAAGTCACCATAAATGCATATGAATGTGCTGGGCATTTTATAAAACCTGGACTCAGCATTTATGAATTTGGAAATGGGAAGTATGTGTATGAAACAGACAACCCGTAATAGCTTTCCTAACGTAACTACTTCCCACATTTAAAGGTTAATTGCTGATAAAGTCCTCCAAGGAAGTGAGGGCTACAGCATTCTTAAATAAAACCTGTTTTCCATTCTCTTACTTTTTAAAATAACTTCATGTGGTGTGGTCCCTAGGTGAAGTTTCATCACTAACGCTCTGCCCAGACTGTGGATAACACTGTGATGGGCTTAATTGGGTATATTCTCTAAATATACCCATAAACTTCAATAACTTGGAAATATTTTTATATTTAAAAAGTGAGTCACAGCACAAACTCCGAGAGCCACGTGTCTAGAAGGGTTTATCAAGTCACACTTACAGCGGGTCTACTTTTCACGCTTGACAAATTCAGCATTTACCAACCAAGTGACTGTACTCAGCAAAACATCCCAGTCCGTGAAATTATGTTTCAATAGCTCTCATGATTGCAATGTAAGCAACCCATTCTAGTCACTTTTATGACAGAATGTCTATATATACTTAGGATGTTTTCTGTTTCTTTTTAAAAATCATGTATTCTCTGGTCATTAGCTAACTCCATTTATATTTGGACCCCCCTCCCACCCCTTTCAATTAACAACAAAGAGAGATCTATTTGAAAAATATACAGATCAGCTCTTTCTTTCAGTTCTAACTTAAAAATAATGTGACGTCAACAAAAAGCAAATGTTCTGCAGAAGAAACTTACATAGTCCACCAGCTCATGCGCAGCACAGTTGATGGCCAGATACAGATTCGTCCCCAGTTCTAGCCCCAGGTTCGCACAGATTCCTTGTATGGTGAGCAGGGGCTGCTCTATGGTGTCGTAATTGATGGTCAAGCAGCCCAGATGGGACATCTTGCCAGTGACCGGCTGCTGCAAGGTCAAAGGAAAATGATGAGTGTAAACACAGAACATCACTGTTCTGGGAGTCTCCCGTGTTGGGCGCATTTTAGAAACAACGCTCCTCTGATTCTGGATTAATCCTCTGTCTCGGTCCCACTCACCTCTGAGTGACCTCGGGGCACAGGTTTGCCCTGCGGTGTCTGGGAGTAATTTTCTTCCTTTACTTGCCGAGGTTTTCGAGCGGGGCCCGGAGAACAACTTTCCTGTCTTCTGGGTGCTCATGTTATCCCTTTACTGGCTCTGCCCTGGCTTGTGGGCTCACCTGAGCCGCACCACCAGGTTGGTGCCTCTCCAGGCTGTCCCTGTAAACGTCTGTCCTGCCTGTCCCTCCCTCTGCCCTCTTCCCCCAAACCTGCTCTTTCCCGTGCTCCCTTTTCCTTTAGGAGAATGTAACTGCCAACACTTAGCACTGCAGCCCTCCTTCAGGAGAGCTTTCATTTTAAAAAGGACTGAAGACTTCAGCTCAGAGGGTGCAGCTGAGGGTAGATTTCAGTGGAAGAAGATCTGAGGAGTCAAAGGACCCCAGGGCAAGGCAGCCACACGCCTCTCCTGGGAGGCCAGCCTTGACGTGCCTGGGCCATAAACCGTGCACCACGCGATCATCACATAAGTTGAAGTGATATCAGTCCTGAGGGCTTAAGGGTGTGTGTGTGAGTGTGTGTGAACCACACTCAAGAGCTAATGTGAACCTAGCTAAAAATATCCCCTTGTTACTAGCGGTAACCCTAGTTAATTCTAAGGACCATCCAACATTTTTATTGTAGTTGTAATCTTCACTGGAGGATATTTTTCCCATGGATTTTTAGAGAGAGTGGAAGGGAGGGGAGAGACAGAGATGTGAGAGAGACACATCGATTGGCTGCCGCCTGCATGTGCCCCAACCAGGGCCGGGGATCAGGGATTGAGCCTGCAACCAAGATACGTGCCCTTGACCGGAATCAAACCTGGGACCCTTCAGTACATCCAACATTTCTAATGTTAGTGAGAGGAACCTTCTATTCGACAAAGGAAGAGTTGGGGAAATTCTTGTGTTCAGAGCACCCACAATACCAAAGGGACCAACTGAACAAGTTCGGCGTGTCTCCCAAGGCTCTTGCAGCCAGCATGGCAAACTTTCCCAGGAACCGTGTGCCTAACTCTCCTGGCAAAATCTGAGATCTGGCAATGTGTCATTGGAAATGGTGCCTCAGTGCCTTCGGGGACCAGATGTAAGGAGTGGCTATCTTTCTGTGCCTCTCTCTCCTTGGTAGTAGCACGATTAAAATCTAAAGCACCTGATATGCGTTTCATTTAGTTAGCAGAGAGATTCAACTTCCCCAACACTTTGCCTCGGGTTTCAAATGTAACCCTATTACTCAGAATGCTCCTCGGAGCCGTTGGTTGGCTAGACGCCTGCTGGCAGAAAGGCGAGGGCTAGCGATATTCCAGCTCTCGGTTGCCTGGTTCAGTGCTCCTGGTTTGGTGCAGACTCCCCCTTGCATTAGCCCTGGTCTTGGAGCAAAGTGACTGCAGGAGAGACCAAGGGGCAGGGAATACGTAGATGAACTGCGTCACATACAAGGGTGGTAAAAAGGCAAGATACTGACCTGACCTCTTTTGCCTCCATTTTGCCCTTTCTTCATCTCTGCTTTTGGAGGAGGGGACTGTGGGACAGAAGATAGCGAGGTATCACTTATCTGTGGGCAGCAAGCAAAGCTCAGGTCCCAGAGGAGCCCAGCCAGTCACACTGTGAATCAATCTCCCCCCCCCCCCCC